TATATATTCACATATTTTGAATCCCCAGGCCTAGCACAGTGACTACTATGTAATAATTGCTTAATAAATATGCAATACAAGTTTCCAGAAATTTCATCTGTTGGTCGGTCCTTCTTTGTCATTGAGCATTTATTATTAGTGGCATTTAGATAGAATTCAAAATAAGGCCGACAGGTCTACCAAACAGAAATTGATTTGATTTTCCAAGGAGAGAGCTTCCCAGGGTGTCATGGCTATCTTCAGTACTTCCTGTCTCAACTACTGTTTCATTTCCTTCACTCATGGCACAGGAAGCTGCTCTTGCTTTACTAGGATACGCACATTGTCACACAGACACTTAAAATTTTCAGGGACTTTAGGGTCAGTGACTACTTGAAGGTCAACCCTCACCAGATACCTTTTTAAAAAAGGAAAGATAACTTCTTAAACAAAGCAGTACAATCTGCCCTCTGCATCTTTGGATTCAACCAGTCGCAGACCAAAAATATTCTGAGATGTGCGTGGTGGCGCGCCTGTAGCCCCAACTAACTTTGGAGACTGAGGCAAGAGGATTGCTTGAGTTCAGGAGTTCTGATGATGCCACTGCACTCCAGGCTGGGCAACAGAATAAGACCCTGTCTCAGAAAATACAAAAAACAAAAACAACAACAATGAAAGATAATACAAATAAAAAATACAAATTGATTTGTATTAGGTTATTTGTAAACACTACACCATATTATATAAGGGACTTGAGAATCCGCCGACTTTAATATGAGGGGAATCCTGGAACCAGTACCCCTCATACCGAGGGAGGACTGTATAAGTTTATTGCAGAAAAATAGAAAAGCAAGGAAAGAGAAGAGAATAAACACCGTAAGTCCACCACCCAAAGAAATAATTTGGTGTACATCCTTTATATACATATTTATTAATTTTTAAAAAAGAATCAAACTATACATAGTATATTGTAAACATCTTTTTGTATGTAGTGCTTGAAAATAATGAAACTTAATTTTAAAAAGCATTTGGTAAAATTGATTTGTAACCTCCGATATTCATAGAAAATGCGGTGTTTTGTTCTAGTCCCCACAAGACTGATGTTATTTCTATTACCTAGGTAATAGAAATATGTAATGTATTACCTAGATGTAATATAAAAAGAGTGCAATTATAGGCAGCCTCTTATTTATAATGAGGCGACGTCACTTCCTTGCACAACTCCAGAGGGCGCCATTCATAGATTCTGATGGCCACTGGGGCCCAGTAAGAGTGAATGTGTAATGAAAAAAGATCGGGATGGGCTCGTTAGGTCTGTCGGCTAATTTCACAGGTAAGCGTTTTGAAATTGAGAGTTCAGTTAGGACTATTATCAGATAAAAACATTTAATTTCTTCTAGTAAAAAAAAACGGGCGGGAAGAGACAAGCTATTTGAAAACAGCGGAGGAGGTAAACGCGTCCTACTACAGTTTGCCAACTCCGGGACACCGTGGAACTCCCACCCCGGGGCTGGCGCGGTGCCCGCTGGGAGTTGTAGTGCGGCTCTCGCCTTCCTTGCGGCAGGGTGGGACCGGCGGGACTCGGTTTCCCGGCAGGCCGTGCGCCAAGGCCGTCGGCGGGACGGGAGCTGCCGCGCTGGCTACGAGAAGCTGTGAGAGAGTCGTCCAGTCACCGTTGGTTCATGTTGAGATCATGGCCTCGTTCGTGACAGAAGTTTTGGCACACTCGGGGAGGCTGGAGAAGGAGGATCTGGGCACCCGGATCAGCCGCCTGACCCGGCGGGTGGAGGAAATCAAGGTGAGCGCTGGGCCCCTGACCAGAAAGGGTCGCCGGGTCCGTGTGTGAGGGGACTTGGAGAAAGCGGTGGGGGGGCTAAAAAGGCAGACAGCGTGGGTACCACCGGCACAGTGGGTCCTGTTGGGGAGATCCCGATGTAGGGGCTAAGTGGGGCGTATGAGGAGAGGGCTGACAAGTGTGTGGATTGAGGAGGGAGCTTGGAGGGGAGCCCAGACAGGGTTGGGGGCTGAGGAGGCGAGGAGGCCCAGGGCTGTGGGGAGGAAGAGGCGGTGGCTGGGGAGCGTTGGGGAGTGGGGTTAGGTAGGGGAGGGGTCCACTGGAGGGAGGAGGAGGAAGACCGAAGAGACAGCAGAGCTGGAGGTTCAACTGGAAGCACCGAGGTATTTAGGGAGCGAGCGTATGAGAGGAATAGAAAAGTGGACAGGTCCCCCCCGCCCCGCCCCATATATGAGTGTTTCTCTCCTTCATCCACTCTTCTATTTGTTGATGACTATTATGATATAATAGCTCTGCGAGGATCTCACCATTCTCCTCCCCAACATTAAAAAAAAAAAAAAAAAATCCTAGGTATATTTTTAAAACTCTCCTTCATGCCCAAGCCCTTGAGGCTGTGCTGAGTGCTATAAAACATGTCAATGGTACGTACATGGACCTTGCTGCCTTGTATTGATACAAAAACAAAAAGTACATAGCCACACACAATTTCACTTTGCACTAATATTGTTGCCTTGCCAGTATTTGCCTACACTTTAGTTGCTTTCATTTAAAGTTGTGTATACCACCTGCCTAAGTATGGATTTAAGGGAGCAAGTTTGGAATGCACCATAAAGGCACAGGTATAGCTCTCTTCCTAGCAACTCTTGATTTTACAAAAGTGATTTCCTAAGTTTTAAGTAGTTACATCAGTGACATTTGTTCTTTAACATGGCTTTAGGATTTTTCACCACTTTTTAATGTGATGAAAAGAGGACAGGCTATTAAGCTACCCTAGCATGGCACTCAAGGCTCCTATGTGTTCTGTACATAACCTACCTTTCATTTCACTAGTTTCCTTTACCAACCTGAATCTTCAGCCAGTTGAGAATCACTTTCTGTGCTCTAAGCAGACCCAATTTTCTTTTTTCACTAGTTCCCAGATTTTGCTTATGTTGCTGTTTCTTTGTCATTACCTTTACCTGTACTATTTCTACTCATTTTTCAAGTTCCATTTCAAATGTAGTCTTCTGCATAAAAAGTGTCCTTATTTTCTCTGAGGAGGAGAGAATTTCTTTCTCATTTGTGCTCCTGGAAGACTTTGCAATTCTGTTGCTGTATTACATTTAAGCTTTGTATTCTTGTTACCGAAGGGTATAGTATCTTTCCTACCTAAAAGGAATTTATTTGAAGGCAAGCATAATTTATTCTTTTACCTTCTGAAGCACTGAATAATTCAATGCAAAGTATTCAATAATTTGTTTATTAAGTTAGTTTGAATTAAAGGAGATGATGAAACTCAAATTAATTTAGGGTTTTAAGATTAGACCCCATAGAGTTTTATAGGCAAGAAAATAGAAATTAATACATTGACTGTGATATACAGATTATGGATTTAATTTATCCATTTATTTCCTTTTCTACTTAATATATAATTTAAATTGATAACCACAGTCTGATATAGTTCAATATGAGAAATGGCTCCATTTTTCTCTTTTCCAGAATTTGTACAACTCTTGTGCTCTTGTGCACGGTTAGGATTTGGTGATCATTGTCTTCTTTTTTTTCTTTTAATTTAATTTTTTAAATTGACAAATAATAATTGTACATATTTGTGAGGTACATAGTGATGTTTTGAATCATTGTCTTTGTGTACCCTCATAATGTCATGGGAGTGGGACAAATGTGTTTTTGAAAGAAATCAGTTGGCCTGGAGGGAAAGTGAATGGGTATGGGTAATTGGCAAGAGGGCTCTAACATGGAAGATACTTTATGGAAGATGAGCTGTATATGTTTAACAGAGATCAGTACTCATCTCACTGTTTTATGTTATAATTCTTCTATCTTACAGGGTGAGGTGTGCAATATGATTAGCAAGAAGTACAGTGAATTCCTGCCTAGCATGCAGAGTGCACAGGGCTTGGTTACCCAGGTGGATAAGTTATCTGAAGACATTGACCTGCTGAAGTCTAGGATAGAGAGTGAGGTAAGAATAACTTGTTATATTGGGTAGATTTGTAGGGAGGCAGTTCAGCTTCCTAATTCCTAAGACAACTCAATTCTGTACAACTTTTCAAGATGTCACTTTCCTAATTGATAAATGGAGGTTGAACTAAATGATTATAGGGTGACTTCAATTCTAAAATAGAAATATATTCCCTAACTGCAATTTAAATAACTTATTTTCTATGGAAAAAAATTTTAAGTTATAATAATATATAACATTTGAATAGTACTTTATAAATGAAAAAAATCTTGAGATTTTATTATCTTCATAATAAAATAAAAACAGGTAAAGCAGAGAACTAGATCATTTGGCCTTTTGTCTTCTAATTTATTTATTTATTTATTTATTTATTTATTTATTTACTTGAGACAGAGTCTCACTCTCTTGCCTGGGGCGAGTGCCGTGGCGTCAGCCTAGCTCACAGCAACCTCAAACTCTTGGGCTCAAGCAATCCTTCTGTCTCAGCCTCCCGGGTAGCTGGGACCACAGACACGCGCCACCATGCCCGGCTAATTTTTTCTACATATATTTTTAGCTGTCCAATTAATTTCTTTCCATTTTTTGGTAGAGACGGGGTCTCGCTCTTGCTCAGGCTGGTTGTCTTCTAATTTAAATGCTGTATCTCTTAATGGCCAGCATCCTCTTAGATCTGCAGCTGGCCTCAACACATTCAAGCTTCAACACAATCTTCTTTGTTTTTTGATCTTCTGGAAAATGGGTTGGTTTGCCCACCATAACCACTCTACTTTCTGTCATAAAGCCACTTTCTGTGGGCATACAGAGAGGCTCCTTTCCCTTCTTGTATAGTATTACTTTGTGAGCTGGCGCTTGATATACTTCTTATGGAAAGTCTGGTGGATTTTAGAAATGTTTACCATGTTTGCCAGAGTGCTATCATCACAAAAATAAGTACCCAGTACAGAAACAGAAATATTTCCTTTATAATTTTAAAAACATTTGCACATGTATTATCTCACCAGGATTTTTCCCCTATAGTTTTCTTTTAGGAAAGGTAGGCAGTTGAAAGAAAGAATGCTGATATGGGAGGTTTAAACAAAGTCTAAACTTAGGTATCTTCTGTATCTATTTCTAAATTATTGCTTAGGGCTCATTGATATCCAAAATCATGATTTTGAGGTATTCTCAAGTCTGTTCCATATGTGATAGTTATTAAAAAAGAAAGTGAACAAATGTGTTTTTCAAAAGTTCTCTAGAAAAACAGAATCATAAGTGAAGAAGCAACAGATTAAATAGAAAATCTGTTTACCAGCCCATTAATCATTGTGATTAAAAGTTTTAATAAAAATAAATGTTTCTCTGCAACCCTGGCATAGTTCAAAAAATAGAATGTTTTTGTAATTAGTTGATCATTGAGTCAATAGTACAATATTAGACTGTGCTATTAGAAACAAAATGTCTGGAACAAGGCAGTAATTGGCTCTCTATATCTTTTGCTGGCCAGATTATGGCTAGGGAGATTTAAGCAGTTCTGATTGTTGTATTTTGAAAGATGATGGTCCAGATGAGAAGGTCCAGGCCTGAACACTACCATTTGAAGAACAGTGAAAGAAACTGAGGGTGTTTAGCCCTGAGAAGAAACACTTTCAATATTTGAAGGCCTGTTTTATGTGAGAAAGATTCAAAGTAATGGCTCAAAAAGGAGGATTAGATTCAATAGGTGGATGTCAGAGCTTTAGTCAGTCATTTACTGTATTTATTGAGTACTAACAAGGTGTCAGATACCGTAATAGTTGCTGAATAAGACAGTTTTTTATTTCAAAGTGTGAATCTCATGCCTGATGTAGATGAGTAAAATAGTGTGACACAATACTAAATAGGAATAATCCAGTTAGAGAGAGGAGATGTAGCTAAGGTTGGCTTCCTGTAGGAAATAGTATCCAAACCAAGACCTGAAGTGATAGGTAGGCAGGTGACAGGGGAAGGAAGAGTGTTTTAGGTAGCCATCAGCATAAGTGTTCTAGGTAGGCAGAGAGGCATGGAGTTAATGGAGAAATGTCACTTTTGGGGAATATTCCATGAGAGTGATATTTAGGGAGTATGATGGGACGGGACTTTAGATGAGATTGGAAAGGTAAGCAAGGACCTTGTATATCACGTTAATAATATAGATATTATCTTGATATCTTAGTGCGTAGTGGAAACCATAGAGGGTTTTAAACAAGGGAGTGAAATCAGATTTGAATTTTAGGAATCCCATTCTGCTTGCAGTTTGAAGAAAGAACTTGAGGGAAATGAGACTGGGATATGAGAAGGCAGTTAAAATGTTAGCACGCAGTTAAAATGATCCAGGAAAAACAGGACAGTGACCTGCTATAAAGTCAGTGGCAGTGGAATTGGAGAAAAATGGGTAAATCCTACTGACATTTAAGAGGTAGGATCTTGGGTACTTGTTGATATGGGAAATGAAAGATGCAGAAGTTACAGATAACTGGGGAGCTAGGTCATTGATTGTTCCAGTCACTGAAATAGAGAACATACAGAAAGAGCAGGCTTTTATGGGGGATGAGGAGTTTAAATTTAAGGTGCCGGTGGGATATGTAAGTCCAAACGGACTAGCATAGGCAGTTGGGATTGTATTAAAGTGAAGCCTAGATCGTTGTTAAAGAAAAAAGAAACAATGAAAACAAAAAGAGAAGGCCTGGCATGGTGGCTCATACCTGTAATCTTGGCACTTTGGGAGGCTGAGGCAGGAGGATCGCTTGAGGCCAGGAGTTCAAGACTAGCCTGAGCAACATAGCACAGATACCGTGGGTGACACATGCCTCTAGTCCTAGCTACTCAGGAGGCTGAGGCAGGAGGATCATTTGAGCCTGGGAGTTGGAGATTGTAGTGAGCTATGATGATGCCACTGCAGTCTAGCTTGGGCGATAGAGCGAGACCTTGTCTTGAAAAAAAGAAAAAGAAAAGGAAAAAAGTCACCTTGAAATGCAATGGCTCAAACAACATACTTTTAAAAAAAAAATTTCAAAGTATTACGGGGGTACAAATGATTTTGGTTACAAGTATCACTTTTATGATGCTTGAGTCAGAGTTGTAAGTGTGCCCATGGCCCACATAGTGTTCATTATACCCGTTACGTAGGTTTCCATCCCCTCCTTTCTCCTCCCCCTCTGATTGATTTCTGTTGAGTTATACTTCCCTTCATGCATGTGTTTTATTTTTTAATTCTAGTAGTTCAGCAAACAAGCAAACTTTGCAATCTAAGGCTCAGCTATGCTAGTATACTCTGTGTCAAGAACTGAAGGGGATCTGAGATTATAACCTACTTGCAAGTCAAAAAGTTAGCCCGCTATAGTGTCATGGGTTCTCGGAGAAGACATGTCTCTTGGTTGAGAGATGAAGGACAGTTTATTACAGCAGTAGCCAGAATATCAGCTGTATCAGCGACCCCAGTCACAATTCCTATAGGACATTGTGCTGTGGATTGCATTAGAGAAGAGGGCTCCTGTGCTTAAGGAACCTGAATATTTTATAATTAACAAGTATGCCTCCCTTTTGTAGGAGATACCATCTCTGTCTTCCAAGACTGTTTACTGCATAGACATCCTTGAAAAGATAGCCCAGAACTAAAGATAGTCACTGTCTTATTTGCAAGATGGTGTAGAAATGTGAGAGACCTCTAGAGAATTGTCTCCCAAAAGTGTATAGAGCAGCAGCATTGGCAATTAGTAGCTCATTAGAAATGCAGGATCTAAGGCCCTAGTCCAGACATATGGAAGCAGAATCTGCATTTTAATGAAATTCACCAAGTGAAATGTATATACATTACTGTTTGAGAAACTGCTCTTAGGGTTTTGTTGTTTGCGTGGTTCAATCTGGTCTCTTCTGATGCCCAGGTTATGGCAGGAGGTTAAGGGCAAAGAGAGGGCATGGAGGAGGCACACTTATTTTCCTAAGACTCAGAGTTGGGTACACATCACTTTTGTTAACATTGCATTGGTAAGATCTTAGACATATGGTCACACCCGACTGTGAAAGAGCCTGAAATATATGATCTGTTTCGGTGCCATTAATATGGAAAAAAGGAAGGTGGACTTCAGTGGACAGTTTTCACCTCCACCCACCTATGTACATGTTTGGAGGTTAGGCAAATGATGTGGACTTAAGATAGCAGCACTTAGTAATTAAAGCCATGGGAATGGACAAGATTGCTGAGAGAGAAGTGTATAGAGCAGGGGTTCTCAGCCTCGACATTATTGATATTTTGGGTTGGATAATTCTTTGTTGTGGAGGTCTGTCTTGTATGTTGTGTTACGTTAGCAGTATCTCTGGCCTCTATCCACTAGATGCCAGTAGAACTCCTTCCGTGTGACAACCAGTGTCTTCAGGCATTGCTAAATGTTCTGGGTGAGGGTGGAGCAAAATTACCCTCCGTTGAGAACCACTGGTTCAGAGTCAGAAGACAACCAGGGAGAAAGGAATATCAATATGTATGGATGGAGTAGTTAGAAGGAAAATGAAGGTCCCAAAAGAAAGTGAAAAAGGAATGGCTGGAGAACTGAGAGGAAAATCAGTAAAGAATGGTATCATGGAACTAAGGGAAAAGAATGTTTCAGAAGGAAAGAAACAGTGTACTGTTAAATAGTTAAATACAGTCAGGCACTGCATAATGAAGTTTTAGTCAATGGTGGACTGCTTGCATGATGGTGGTCCCATAGGATTATGATGGAGCTGAAAAATTCCTGTTGCCTTGTGATATCTTGATAATCCTGACTCAGGGTAGGCATAGGGTAATAATGTGTGTGTTTTTAACAAAACAATTTAAAAAGTTAAAAAAAAAATAAAAAATTTTAAAAATAGAAAAAAGCTTATAGAATAAGGATATAAAGAAAATATTTTTGTACGGCAATATAATGTGTTTGTGTTTTAAGCTAAGTGTTATTACAAAAGAGTCAAAAAGTTAAAAAGTTTAAAGTAAAAAAGTTACAGTAAGCTGAGGTTAATTTATTCTTGAAGAAAGAAAAATATTTTTAAAATAAATTTAGTCTAGGCTAAGTGTACAGTTTTTATAAAGTCTGCAGTAGTGTATAGTAATGCCCTAGGCCTTCACATGTACTCACCACTCACTGGCTCACCCAGAGCAACTTCCAGTCCTGCAAGCTTCATTCATGGTAACTGCCCTGTTTTTATTTTTATCTTTTATACTATATTTTTATTGTACCTTTTCTATGTTTAGGTACACAAATATTTACCATTGTGTTACAGTTGCCTACAGTATTCGATACAGTAACATGCTGTATAGGTTTATAGCCTAGGAGCGATAGGCTATACCGCATAGCCTAGACGTGCAGTAGACTATACCATTTAGGTTTGTGTAAGTACATTCTGTAATCACATGATGACGAAATCACCTAATGGTGCATTTCTCTGAATGTATCCCTGTCATTAAATGATGCATGACTGTACTGGTAATGTGTGCTGTGGATTTAGCAACAAGGAGTTGGTTGTTTTGTTTTGTTTTTTGACAAGCACAGTTTTGGTGAAATGGTGTGGCTAGAAACCAGATCACAGTGAGGTGTAGAGTGAACGAGCGGTAAGAAAGTAAAGATAGTGAGCACAGATCACTATTTCAAGAAGCTGTTTGTGAGTGGGAGGAGAGAAATAAGGAAGCTGCTGAAAAGTAGAGTGGTTGCTGAGGTGGAGGGAATTTTTTTTAAAGATGGGGAATTTTTAACATTGACATCTGGTGGGACAAGCCATGCACTATTAGGTATCAGTCAATATACATTTCATGAATGAGTGAATAAATGAAGATGAATTAGGCAGAGGTTGAAGAGAGGAAATAATTGGTAGTGTAAAGTCACTAATACAATGGGACAGAGGGAGGTAAATTCTGCCTCAATGTAAAAAATCTTTCTAATAAGTTAGAACTATCCAACTGTAGAAAGAGTTATCACTTGGCAGTGAGGATGCCTTTCTGGTAATCCAGGTGGATGCGTTCTCTCATGAAAGATACCTGCTTAAATTAAGAGTAGATGGTTACTGAGGATATTATGTTGATGAGAATCGGTATTTTTGCATTGGATAAGGGTTTGGCCTAGGTGGACCTCTGAGATCTTTCCTTATTGCATTCTATGATTTTTATTCCAGTCTTAACTAGCATTTAAATTTCAACTTGAAGCTGGATGTGCTGGCTCTGGCCTGTAGTCCCAGCTACTTGGGAGACTGAGATGGGAGGATAGCTTGAACCCAGGAGTTTGAGGCCACAGTGAGCTATGATCATGCCACTGCACTCCAGCCTGGATGACAGAGCGAGATTCTGTCTCTAAAAGAAAAAAAAATTCACCATAAATTATGTTGACCTAATAAAGCTTATTGATTAGCTATAAATATTTTATTTCTTAGGTATGGTATAACTTAAAAGTACTTAACCTTTAATGTATGCTTTAGGTCCGCCGAGATCTTCATGTATCAACTGCGGAATTTACAGACTTGAAGCAACAATTGGAAAGAGACTCAGTTGTACTAAGTTTGCTTAAACAGCTGCAAGAGGTTAGTAAACTCGAGCTTTAGTGCTTTGGTGGTGAGAGTTACTTTTTTTCCAGTTGGTTTCATTCAGTGAATATCTCTTGACTACGCAACGTTTTTTTCTTTTCATATTTTAAAAACAAACAGACTTGAAATAATAGGATGTATAAAATATTATACTTTTCAGTTTTCTACTGCTATTGAAGAATACAATTGTGCATTAAGAGAGAAGAAGTATGTCACTGCTGCTCATCGTCTAGAAGAGGTACTAAATGCTTTCTGCATAGCATGAGAATTAGTGCTCTTCTTGTTTTTAGTAAATTTTGTATTCCATGTATTATCATTATACAAATATATTCTAATTGCTCTGAGTCCAGATGGAATGTTTAACAATGATTCTGTTTTCACCGCTAGGCACAGAAATGCTTGAAGTTATTAAAATCCAGAAAATGCTTTGATTTAAAAATATTGAAATCTCTCAGCATGGAGCTCACAATACAGAAACAGAACATACTATATCACCTTGGAGAAGAGTGGCAGAAACTGATTGTATGGAAGATCCCACCATCAAAAGGTGCTGCTGACCTCAGGTGGACTGCTTTGCTTAATCTGCCTGAACCAGTTTGGTGTCTGAATATATTCTAAATATTTTGTGTTGGTAGATGAGGTTTCATTTATAATCTTCCAACTCTATATTGAGTTCTTCTGTTAAGCAAGATGGTTTCATAGGACCAACTCATCTGGGTCCCTAATGTACCCTCACCTTACTTCTTTTACATCCCTCTTTCTGTCCCTTCTCTAGGAAAGTGAGAAAAGATGATTGAGTGGTTGTGGTCTACGTAGGGAGGGTGTGCTAGAGGACGTGGTAGCAGTTTCAGACCACACTGTTTCTCCTGCCTATAAGACATACCTGTTCTAATCCCAGTGGTTTATTTTGGCTAGAAAGCTTAAAGGAGCTGTTCAGCCGTTCTCTCTCTTGCTGAAGAAAGAAGATGGGGGACGGTGGGTTTGTGGGTAAAGGAGGGGTTTGGCTCAAATTTTCTCAGTCCTTGGGGAAAAAAATGGTAACAAAATCATGAGATGGGGGTGCTTTGCAAGGTGAAGAAATAGGATTACTCTGGCCCTGGCTTTGATTTATGCTACTTGACTCTCAGCCCTTCTGCCCACCTCTGGGTGTGAGTCCTCTTTGATGTGTTGTTTGCTTTGAAAGTAAAACTTCAGAGGGTGTGTGTAAAGGTCATGCTATTATACCTGGTGTATTTTCCAATATTGATCTTGAAATTTAGTGTATTTCAAGGGAAATCTCATAGTCTCCCCCCTGTTCCCTTTCCTATATCCACTTTGGCCTCTGTACACGTTGTGGGCGTATGTGTGTACATAGATACACATACACTGGAACTAAACTTTCCAGTTATATGAAATGCCAGTGTCTAGCCTGTTTCTTGTTCTAGAACTTCTAGACAGGATTCAGTACTATTCTTAATTGCTTTTACTTGTTGGATTTAAAGAAAAAATCAAGGCTGGGCATGGTGGCTGACGCCTATAATCCTAGCACTCTGGGAGGCCGAGGCAGGAGGATCGCTTGAGCTCAAGAGTTCGAGATCTGCCTCAGGAAGAGCAAGACCCCATCTCTGCTAAAAATAGAAAAAATTAGCCAGGCAGGGTGGTGCACACCTGTAGTCCCAGCTACTCGGGAGGCTGAGGATTGCCTGAGCCCAGGAGTTTGAGGTTGCTATGAGCTAGGCTAACACCATGGCACTCTAGCTTGGGCAACAAAGCGAGACTCTGTCTCAGAAAAAAAAAAAAAAATCAAGAGCCAGCATGACAAATCTTACTTCCTTCCCCCTCTAGAATAAAAGAACTCATTTATTTCTACAAATACATTATGTATGTGTGTACATAGATAACACATACACCTAATGTATATATATATATTGGGTAATTTGAAGAGTGTAATCTAGAAAATTTTAGATTCTACTCCAAGTAGACTGTAAATTAAGAGAAGATGGCAGGTGTGTTGAATTCTTTGTTATATTATAGCATACATTACCATTTAAACTTTGGCAGAAAGAACATGCAAGAGGTCTGTGAAACTAGGACCTCAGTTTTTATTTCTTGCCTTCATTCTCTTATTCAGTACATATTTAGTGGCTGAGTGCGGTGGCTCATGCCTGTAATCCCAGGCTTTGGGAGGCCACAATGGGAAGATTGCTTGAGGGCATGAGTTTGAGACCAGCCTGACCAATGTAGCGAGACTGTGTCTCTACAAAAAAGTTTAAAAGTTAGCCAGACATGGTGGCACACGCCTGTAGTCCCGCCTCCTCAGAGGCTGAAGCAGGAGGATCACTTGAGGCCAGGAGTTGAGCTTGCAGTGTGCTGTGATTGTGCCACTGCACTCCAGCCTGGGCAACAGAGTGGGACTCTGTCTCTAAAAAAATTAAAAAACAAAACAAACATATTTAGTAAGGATTTCTTGTAGACACATTGTCTCTTTAGTACTTAGTTTGATTCTTTGAACATGCCAGTAAGAGTCATTTTCTGTTTTAAAAGTGATACCAAGGACATGTATGTCATAATTAATATTTGCTTGCATTAGAAGTATATTGTAATAAGACTACATTAGGAATCTCAGTAAAGAATGGGCTCTGAGGAATAGAAGTGGAAAGATCTTGTATCGCTGAGACAATTGATATTTTTCCTCCTTTTTCTTAGATACCAGCAGTTTAGAATCTTGCCTACAAACGGAACTTCATTTATGCACTGAACAATCCCAGAAAGAGGAGAAGATCCCTATGCCACCCATCAGTTCTGTCCTCTTGGCATTTTCTATTCTTGGAGAACTACACACCAAGCTTAAATCATTTGGTAAAGCATGTTACTTTGTTTCATTTACATGAAATCTTAGAAGGCCCCGTATTAAAGGGCTGACAGAAAAGATTATAAAATATTCTCTGGAGAGTACTGATACAGAGTTTGGCCACTTGATTCATCAAAGGGAATTGTCATAAATATTGCCCTTTTTATTAAGGGCTTGGATCCTTTCTTTAAAAAAGAAACTAGTTCCTATTTATTTTATTTGGTTTTTTGAATAATTCAAATAAAAATCTATAGACCATCTGGGGCCAGGCGTGGTGGCTCACACCTATAATCCTAGCACTCTGGGAGGCCCAGGCGGGTGAATCGCTCAAGGTCAGGAGTTCAAGACCAGCCTGAGCAAGAGCGAGACCCTGTCTCTACTAAAAGTAGAAAGAAATTATCTGGACAACTA